TTGAACAATCATTGGTTGAATAGCCGGGTGATAATATTTGTTTAGGTAATGATTTACATTAAATTTATTATGAATTATAGAACCGCTAGTTACCCGATTACTTGTTCTGATTTCGACGGGAAAGGGTGCTTGTCTAAAGTCACGGAAGGCTATTCTTCAACATCCAAACCGTAGTTTGGATCCTACAATGGTCTGCTTGTTGCCATCTCTGTTGATGATGAAGTATTTTTGTGTGCGTTTAATTACTTTATATGGGCCTTTGTATGGTTGTTTTAATGGTATTTTAACCGCATCTACTCGAACGAAGACAAATTTGCACGTTCAAGGTTTTTATCAAGTTGGACTCGATTGTTGTGTAGGTTCTTGTTGTAGGTTCATAGTTGACTAGTTGACCAGGTGACGTTAGAGTTGTACCATAGACTAACTCGGCGCCTATACATCCAATGTCTTCCTTTATGGTTGAACGAGTACCGATGAGTACAAGCGGTAAGGCATCGCTCCACTTTGATGAGTCAGCTTGCGCCATCAGTGAGCTTTTTAATTGGCGATGGAATCTTTCAACCATGCCATTAGCTGCTGGGTGGTAAGCTGTGGTTTTAATGTGGTTGACCCCTAGAAGTTTAGTGAACTCCTGAAAAAGGACAGATTGAAATTGGGGACCACGATCTGTTGTGATTATTGACGGTACTCCATAGTTAGATATCCAGCGGTCGAGGAAGCCTGAAGCGACTGTTTCTGCCGAAGTGTCTTTTATGGGGCAGGCTATGGCCCATCTAGTAAACCTGTCTACTGCGGTGAGAATGTGGGTGAAGGAATTGGACGGAGGCAATGGCCCAACTAAGTCCAAATGAATATGTTGAAAACGTTTGTCGGGAATAGGGAATTCCCTGATCGGGCTGATAGTGTGTTTTTGGATTTTGCTGCGTTGGCACTGTAAGCAGCCACGTGTCCAACGTTTAACATGCGAATTGATTTTTGGCCAAACAAAGCGTTCTGTGATAAGCTTCGTGGTAGCTCTGATGCCTGGATGCGACAGTCCATGTAGCTGTTGAAATATTTTTCGTCGACAGGGTTGTGGCACAAAGGGGCGATTATTACCCGTTGAAGTGTCGCAAATAATAGATGCATCTGAGAAAGGAATGGGTACAGGTTTAAGATTCAAGTTAGACTTCCGTTTGCAGGTCTTCAAATCTGGATCGTCCATTTGTAGTTTAGCTAAAGCTTCAAGGGTGATTTTGTGGTTGTGTACCATCATGTTGATATCCTTTCCAGATAGAGCGTCAGCGACAATGTTGGAGGAGCCTTTAATGAACTGGATGTCCGTAGTGAATTGAGAAATGTAATCCAGTTGTCTGGCTTCCGGTGAAGAATGTTTGTCGTAGGACGTGTTGAAAGAATAGCAAAGTGGTTTATGATCAGTCATAATGGTGAAATCACGTCCCTGAAGCAGGAAGTTGAAGTGTTTTACAGCTAAGTACATAGCCAGAAGTTCGCGTCCGAAGGTGCTATAACGCTCTTGAGTTGGTGATAATCGTTTGGAAAAGAACGCTATAGGAGTAATCTTGTCGTTAACGCATTGCTGTAATACTGCTACTACTGCTTTCTGGGAGGCGTCAGTGCAGAGGATGAGGTTTGTTGTGGGATCGGTGTTTAGGTGCTGTAGCATGGTAGCATTGGATATCATCAATTTCGCTTTAGGGTAAGCCTCTCTGGCGTCAGGTGTTAACGTGAAGGTATTCTCTTTTTTGGTCTGAGCTTTGGTTTTATCTGTCTTCAGTAAATCCGTCAAAGGTTTCAAAATGGCCGCACAGCTAGGGAGAAAACGTCGGTAAAAATTGCACACTACCAGGAACCGGCGTGATGTACTCGTGTTCTGACAGAATGTCGTTGAAAACGTTGTTCGCAGGTTTCATTATCCGTACACCATGGATTTCATAGTCGTTGGAAGGTGTGCCATCTACCTGTAAACGTGTATTTGCGTCGATTAATCTCTTCTTGGTCATATCTACTAACAAATTATAGGCACTGAGGAAATCAGCTCCGAGGATGGGTCGTTTGACTTGGGCAACTATGAAAACCCATGTGAATCGTCTTTGGAGTCCGAGGTCTAATATATAGAGATTGCTCTCCGTAATTTTTGATAATTGATTCGTTAGCCGCAATGAGAGACAGCTTAGTGTTTGTTGTTTGTTGTCTCCGGGAGAGGTGAAGTGGGATAATGCTAATTTCTGCTCCTGTATCGACTAAAATATCCGAGCCAGAAATGTGATCCCTGATGTGAAAGAGGCGGCTAACTTGTTGGCCAGTAACAGACGCCGCCATTACTATCTGGCCGGCTCGTTTTCCTGATAATCTGGCTTGTTTGTCGTAAAGTTGCACGGCTTAGTGCAACGACGTGCCTTCTCCCTGAAAGTCGCATGATACCAGCAAGTGTCCGCTGCCCGTTTGGATGACCTAGTGCGAGGTCTGGACCTTGGCCGCTTTCTCGAAATCGATCTGGCAGGACGAGAGTGGATCGTGGCAACGGTCGCCTGCAACGACGCTACTTGCTGAGTTAAGTGTGCTATTTGCTGCTGAATGTCCAAAGGGGGGTTCATAGCATCTCTACTAGAGGTTTGTACCGCGTTGATTCCGCGACTATCAGGATATAATTCCATCATCTTATCAGCGATGTCAGTTAAGTCGTTGAGGGTGACAGAGGTTCCTGAAATACTGAAAATTTGTCTAACACTATGTGGTAACCTTTGTAACCACATTTGCTTAAGTAGCGTCTCGTCCAATTTGTATGGGCCGGCGAGCTGTCTCATGTGTTGGAGCAACTGTGAAGGTCTCTTATCCCCTGGTTCGCATGAAATAAGCAGTTGTTGTAAACGTTTTTCGTCTGAGAGAGATGTGCGTTGGATTACTGCAACATTTATCTTGCCATAAGGGTCATTTTCTGGTACGTTGTCGATCAGGTCACCGACTTCCGTTGCTACTTCTCTAGGTAGTGCACCGACGACGTGGGCATATTTGGTGGCTTGCGAACGTATACCCCTCGCCAAAAATAGTGCCTCAACTTGAGCAAACCAAATTCTAGGGTTGTTGACACCGTATGTTGGTAATCTTAGTTCAGAAATAGCGTTGATTGAGTTTAAAACATTATCTTCTGTCTGTGATGAATGAAAGGGGTTGGTTGATGGGCTATCTATATTAATAAGCTTATTGGGAGAGTTCATAATGTCAAAAAACAAAAATGGTCTGTCGTGCCAAGTAATAATAATAAAAAAATATGTAGATGTATATATAGTAGATGTCTATATAAAAAAAAATCGAGGCTCACCAAATAATTGTAGTAGACCAGACAGATATGAACGCGGAAAGTATCAACAAAATCACTAAAGATCAATAGTAATATTTATATATACCAGTTAATTGTCACAAATACAATAAAAATTTGGGACGTTGCTTGAATTGACCAAACGTTGCGTGTTCTGATTGGGCCGGTAATGTAAATCCACAATTATAAATGCTTGGTGATTCTGAGCAGGTTGACGAACTCTCCAGTGATATAATCCAACGTAGAATGTGATATATTCCAATTACAGTCTATAAATAATGATGGTATATGATTTAGATTTCAGTTAACTCAATCACAAACGAAGCTAGAACGAGAAATGTGAGAGTAGTAGTGTATTTGTTAGCAAGCAAGAGTATGTCACGCTATGTCAGAACCACAGCGGAAAGTGTGTTCAAGGTCATTTACTCAAACAACAGTTACAGTCATATAATGTTAAATATAAATACAGTGGAAGATTGACAAAATAAATGCAAATAACACTGAAAACTAATTACAAAATAAACTTGTCAGTCATATCTCCACAGATTCAAAATGGATCTTACAAATGTATTTGCATTTGACATTACTAGACTTTTTTATCCTGTTACAGTTTTTTGATACTGTTACTTCGACAATTCCTGATTTGCTATTTACACAAAATGACTTAGACTTCAAGGTTTAGTTAGTTCTGTACGAAGCAAAAAGAAACAGCAACTCATGACCATCACGGTAGGGTAATCGAGCGTATATATTTGTTGCATAGTGTGACATGACTTGAATCAGACTGTCATGCCATTACACTTGGTTTGCTTGAACTCAACATCCATATGCAATCATGAAGCATGTGGATAATTGTCCCCTTAATGAATATTCAACTTCAAGTATGATACGATATTCTAAAACCACAAATGTTTTCATACACAAAATGATAAATTACAAGTGTGGATTCGTAATTATAAAAGGCTAGCATGTGCTCATGTCAGGAGTTATATCTTAATATTCGTATACAAAATATTAACTTTCATTATCGCGCACAAGTTAACCAACAAGTCGATGAAATAAATCAAAATGTTTTTAATCATTCATGTTGCGTACAATCAATAAAACGGTATAACAGCTAGAATTCTGCTGCAACGCAACGATAGACTACCACAATCTCGTTCCAGTTAAACGACCTGATGAGCATGACCAGTTTATCATGATTATTGGTTAATTACATAATGATATCATGTGATTACTTATGATTCACCATGCGACCGTCCGATGAAAAGTCGGACGCTTATTCCGCGATATTGAAATTACGATTGTTTATGGACTATCTTGGCCGTGTTCAAATTAGGTAGAAGACTAAGGAACACAAAAAACGACTTAATCATCAGGTAGTAAGGGAGCTGGCAACCATCTAATCAATATGACACACTATACACTATACAGTCAGTACATTACTAAATTAAACGTACTGAGTACTTATATAGTCGCGCCGGTGGTATCATAAAAAGAAGGCAGAATATAATGTTATACATGACCTATAAAATTTTTAACATTTCTGTCACTATATGCTTCATTTGTTTTCCGGTTCCATGTGGGAGTGAATAATGAAGAAACTCTTCATTCCTCTATAAAAACGATCACGTGTCTGTACTGTTTTGTAGCGTCTTTTTAATAATTGATTTGTTTGTATGCATTGAGTTTAGGCATTGAAGTGGTGCGCGGAAGGTTGAATTCCCAGTTAAATATAGATTGCTGTTTAGAGATTTTGTTAACCAGGATATTTGTAAGTCATTAAGTAGTAGGATTTTCGTGAATACCACAAATTGAAAATCAGTATTTTCTTGAATATTTTGTTAGATGAACTTTTGTTGACAATGAATCACGGGTGTTTGGTAACACCCCAAGTTTGTCACTTGGAAACTACTGTATGTTGTTGGTGTTGGTAGATGATTATAACTCACACTTGAGTTCAGTGAAATTTTTAATATTATGCACCTCGATGTAGCGAATCATGTAGTTGTGTCTGTTTCTGGTCTCCCTACTTTTTGGAAAAATTTTGTCTGTTTAGGTGAAATTTCGGGAAAGCGTAACATAAAACACTGGGAAGATACGAATCATCAAAATGTTTGGGGAGATCTTCAGTTTTTCCTAGTTCTTCCTCATTATCATATGACACAGGTTTTCCTTCATACTTTTGGGAAATCTACCATATTTCTTACGACTGGGGAAATCACGGAATAGGGCGATTGATTTTTATATTTTCCTCATCCATACGGGAGTTAGTTCTTATTGTCTGTCCTCTGATTTCACTTATTTAGGTTACCTACTTTGAATGACTAGGTCTTCTTTTCAGCGAATGTGTCCAGATATTTCAAAGTTCTAATAAGCCGCAGCTTTGTGATTTTCTACTATCACCACACAGTATTTAATTTAACTTGTTCAAAAGTCTGTTGTTTTGACTATTAAACACGCACAGTCCATTATGCGCTTCTCGACACTAGCGCACATAAAAACCTCAGTACTCCTTACCCAGTGATTATTTTCACATTTCCAAAGCTAATACTTTACAATATTTACACATGTCTAAGTCAAATGGTTGGGAGTAAACATCAATCTGAATCTATATACACCTATGATGTTTTGTCCTTGATACTTGCTCCATTTAAACGTAAGGTCGAGTCCTAAGATGTTTCTGTAGGGTTCGTCTCATTGGACTAACTGTGATTATGGCTTGTATCTCTGTTGAGACCTTAATGTGTTGAAGTGCAACATGAATGTCAGTTTTTATTAAGATTACCAATGTACTCATTCTTAGTGGCAATTTCCTTAGTGTCCAAATTCTGACGTTTTTTTATATGCCGTATTCCTGTTTTGTTTAGCTTTAATTACTTGTCGTTATATAGCGAAGCGAACTACATCTAATTTAGTTGTTTACTGATCCACATTACCATGATGCTACAATGTCTAGTAGTGTTGTTTTATTGTCCTCGAAATATCCGGTTGTTTTCCTAATATGTTAAGCTGAAAATGAGTCCAACTGTCGATTGGTTGGAGTGTAAGTGACCTACAAACTGGTGTCCTCCAGTAGAATCATGTTTCTTCAAGTCGATAATCTGTGTAAGTTTCTCTTGTTACATAAATAACCACACAGTCACGTATAGTTGCGCTTAACTCCTGATGTGTCAAAACCAGCTGGTAAACACCATTGATGTTAGATATATGTTGATGGAAGGTGGCCATTCATTTAATCAAATGACGAACCGTCGCCAGGTATATTGGTTAAGATGTGCTGCAGAAGTCCATCTTCTGGTCCATAGGGTAACTACGATTTGCTTCGTTTGGTATCATTATATCGTTTTCGCTTGAGTTTTTTCTTAACCATTTAGTCTTGACAACCACCAACTTCAGCCATTACTAGAGATCACGTGACATAACAAGCCCTTAAGGTGAGTCAACGATGGACAAAATAACCTATGTTACTATCATCGCTGGAAAGGTTCATCTGAAGACTAAACCTTGTTCCGAAGCACATGTTTAAACTTTGATCATGCTTTGACGCAAAGACGCGTTTGCTTGCATCTTACTGGAACCATAAAATTCACAGCAGAAAGAACTTTTAGATTTCATCCGTAGATGAAAAATCAAAATCACCTCTCAGGGACACCATTTTAAATGCCTAGTCAACCATTAAAGGGACGTCCATCCTGATCCAGCTTGGTTTGATATCAAAACAGCTGCAAAAATAGTGGTATATGTTAGCGACTTGAGCAAAAGTCCAGGGGAATCAGTGAATTTCGGTGGGGTCTGAATTTATAAGAATCCCACCAGACCCAAGAGCAATGAAAACTTGAAAGTATACTAACAAAAGTTCTACTTGGTGAAAAAACATTGTCCACACTATTGCAGATTAAAACGATGTGCAGAACACTTTAAGGAAAGGTTCAACTGGCCCCCATCTACCCTATGATTACCTGCTATTACCAAACAATCTGGAAGGTCGGGTTCGGCCTTCACGTGTAACCATTGTAGGAAGTAATGCAGTTGAGTGCTGACCACTTCACTTATCTTTGGAGTTCCATTAGTCCCGGTGGGCCGATATTTGATAAAATCTCCATGGATTCAGAAGACTTGCTTGGCGTCTGCAAACTTGCGTCACTTGAATTGGGTAATCTAGATTTTTTAACACAATCTTCATCCGCTTACTGTGTTCTACTTAATGTCTGTGAAACGGTCTTTAAAAGTAAGGGAAATTAGTGAGTTACTAGTCTTGGGTCATAAGTGTCCCGACTATTTATCGTTTGTGTTAGGACCACCAAGTGACCAATGTTGAGGTTATGAGTGGAGTACTGGACTTATATGTCAAGTCGGTTGATGTTTTAAACCTCTATCGTCTGAAGAGTTTACAAGAACTACTACGTATCCTTTACTTTGCCTACCTGAACGCCCAATGTTTAATGAGTTGGGAAGTTAGGAGTTAGGAGCTCTCAGACCAAGTGTATGAACTCATTGGCTGTTGATCTGATTCGTATTAGTAGTTACGAACGTTTTGGTCCGAACGATCATCTTGACCATTTTTCGGAAACGTCGGGTGACGTGACTCAAAATCACTCAAATGGGCTCATTCTCGTGCTAATGTGGTTTGGCAAATCGAACCAGTTCATGTTTCTGCCTGAATCTGCGTTGCGTTGAGTCCCCTCCATTGTAAAGGGTTGTGAGTTAGACCAGTTTGATTTTGTCTAAGGTCTCTTTTTCTATTTGTTTTTCCTATAATCCAACAATGGTACGAAGTTTTTCAAGTCACCGGTTGCAGTCTTTCACTGTTACCCAACCAGCGGTATAGAAGAACATAGTATCCAAGTTTTACTGAGAGATAATTTTATACTTAGATGAATTAGTCTCCGAATGATAATTTGGAAAACTGGTCAATATGCTTCAGTTTATGAAAAAGGATCTCTATTTTAACGAAAACTGTCAGAATGACTTTCACTTTCCAGAGCGGTTTCGTATAGGGTGCTACTACCATAATCTTGATTTTCGTACTTTTCTGTCTTAGGTTACCTTAAATATGTGTGGTAAATTTTAATCACCATCTTTCAGTTACTCCATAACATGAAAATTACTTTTTTGATATTTTTTTTTATATTTCGTACTTATTTAGACTTAACTATGCCTCGAAACTTCAGTCTTCAACCCGAGAGAAAGAGCCGTATGACTGGAATCCCTTCTAATATCAAAGCAAGGTAGGTTGTTTGTTAATCATTAGCTGAACATTATTTAGGACTTCATCTGTTGGTCCACAGGAACAAAAACCTGTTAACCGTGAGGTTAAATCTAAAGCGAATGTCACTAAGATGATAGGAAGTTTAATCCAGGTAAACTATGTTTTGACAGGCTTAAGTTTCATTTGACTTTAGTTTCTGGAAACCACCGACTATTCAAATTCCCTTTCTCCCAAAATCCTCCATTCACCCAACTCAAAAGAAATATTTTCAATATTCGAACATCTTGTTCGACAAATTGAGCCCTCCTTTCGTATTGAAAACGACGGAATGAAAGCGGAAGAAGTTTGTCTGAAGTAAGAATAATTTTCTATCAAAGCAAACAGCATAATCCTTGGTTTTTCTGAAGTTATCTTAAAATTCTAGGCTACCCAAATGTTCTTAGTAAGCATCATTTGTTAGCACCAGGTGCTCCTCAAGCCTGGAATTCAGTTTTAGCAGCGTTCGACTGGTTCAGAGAAGAAACAGAAAATGCAAATGACGTAATCATTTCATTATTGGTCATCTTTATATTCATCTGTGTTTAGGCTATAAATTTTTCGGTGTTCGGGTATGATGATGATCAAGATACTGAAGAAGAGCCGCTGAATAAAATTATTTTTCAATTGAAGTCAGTTATTTTTAAAAGAAGACGTGAAGGCCTTGATATATTTCCAAGTGATATTGAAGTATGTTGGTGTTTCACCTTTTGTAACAGATGTTTTTTTCTCTGTATCTGATTTACCTCAGTCAAGCAACCATTGAAAACCAGAAAATATTGAACAGCCCTGTGGTCCTACTATGGGACTCCTGGGCTCAATCAATGGTGGGGTCGTCAGTCAGTCAGCTACAACGTACGACCAGGCACATATATGCATCGGTCCAAGTTGCCATACCTCATTAACACAACAAGACGAACACCTGATTCGTAAAAGTAGTTAATTCAGAGGTGGTAATATATAAAAGAAAGATTGGATATAAGAATATAGTACGGGAAGAAAGAATTAGTTCGTAGAAAGAAAGATATAAAGCGATTTTAATCTCTTTGTTTAAGGGAAGACAGAGAGTGTATACACCGACGCCATTGTGATCGATTCTCAGCTATGTCACCAACAGTCTCCAACCATTGGTCACAATAGTCGCGTTGACCCCAACAAAGCAGTCTGCATCTATCAACATTGCTAGGACTAGAAGTTAGTGACTTCATCCATCTATTTTGCTTTCGTTGCCCATCGCTGCTCACGGTCGTTTCTTGGACTTCTGCTTAACCTAGATCTGATTTGTTTACGCTCTTCATCGTGTTCAGAACCTGATGGGATGAGTTTGCGAGAATCCATCAGTGCAACAGACCTTATAGAAATCCATTGATTCTTTGTAACCCTGTGGTTTAAATCATTGATAGATTTCACTGCTGTTTCTATAGCTGTTTGTATATCTTTCCAAGCAACGTCCGGGTCAGCCTCGTTTTCAGAACTACCTAAGTGTGACCTCAGTTGTTCCTGGAACCTATTTTTGGTTTTCTCGTTACTCAATTCAGTTCTAATGGGTCGAATGGGATTTGTGTGGCGCATATGTATTTGGTGCCTCTTTGTACCATTATGTATGTGTTGAAATAAAAAATAATGGGTCTTTTTAGTGTGGCGTTTTTGTGTCCAGTGTGGCGCAAACATTATATATATATATATATATATATATATATATATATATATATATATACTTAGGAAATGAACTCATTTTTTTTATCAGTAACAAGCGCTTGTAGTCAGGGTCACAACGTGGCTCTCTCATTTGGCAAATGTGGATTGGTTCACTGTATCACCTTGGGCTGCTCAAAAATACGTTCGGTCTCTGTTTAATAATTAATATTATTTCTATCTTGCGACATTTGATTAGTCACCAAAGTTAGATATGTTTTAAAAGTACCAAGCGGTATATTTAGCTCAGTTCCTTCAACAACATCGATCGACAGTACAACGATAAACCATATCAAAAGCGTATGAACGTAAATAACATCAGTATTGGTCACAAACTAAACACTATTAGTGTAGTTTTGAAGCACTGAAACGAGTTGATGAAGAAAGTTTAAAATAATAGTGAAACTCAAAATTTCACGGAGAAACAATTGTGCCGCTGTATCATTGTGAGTGATTCTGATTTGTCTTGCCTAAAGATTTACCGTTGACTGCAATAATCGATTGGATCCAAAGCTTTCAACTCCCTCCAGTTAATAATGAATTCATGGGTTGATCCTGTTTCTTTGTTTGACCACTCTTATTCATTCCCGATCTACCCCCACTCTGGCTAACATTTTGCGTCTAAATGGTTGATGAATGGACTTGGTTCCACTCTTGGTCAATATTATCTGACAACCTTATAAACAAATATACCGTCTTTACTTAATGCACTAAGTTAGATTTTAGGATTCAAGTTTTTGTGTGAAAATTCTCTTCTTTTGCAACCTGAAACTGAATATTTATGTTATAACCTGGATTCCATCCAAGGTAAATGAAATTAATTTTAAATGCATTCTTACCCCCACTTTTCTGAGAAAATGGTACTTATTTTCAAAAGAATGGCTTTGTTTTTTTGCATTGAGGATTACCGTTGTCGTATCAACAGAGTATTGAACGCTCCAAGTGAAGATGATATGAAGAAGCTTTATGATCGTCTGAATGAAGTGGATAAAGAAATGAATAGTATAAATAATGTAGACGGAGAAGAAAGGTCATTAAGAACTCAATTAGCTGAGACGGAATCCAGTTTAAAATCACTAGACGAAAAGTTGCGCGACCATGAATCTCAGATAGCTAAGTTAAAGGTATATTTTTATTTTCCTTCAAAGTGCTGTTATATGTTAATTGTTCCTTACAAGGTACCTAGTCAGTTCTTATCACTTGGAAAGTTGACCTCATAGGCATAACACTTGACTTTCAGTTATTGGGTCTTAGCTTCTAAAACCTTCTGCCTATTTACGCTCCTCCAACTGGCACCTACTCCTAGCAGGATCACCTAGTTTCACTGTCTCAGACGTTACCTCCAAGAAACTAGAACTATTACTGATATTTACATAGATGGAGCACTTATTAGTAACCAAAGTCACGCTTATCTAGTCCTTATTTTGGATTCTGTCTCCAAGATCAAGATTTTAACAACAGCGTTTGATCAGAATGTTCCAGTTAACTCTTCGTACAGAAACCACAATGTTTGAATAAAACCCATTATTGTATACGCTTTCTGTCTATATTAATCTGATATCTAAAAGATCATTTAATAGTAGTATCAAACCATTTCTCATCTTTCAAATACTCATAAATTTAAATGGTATATTTCGTAGCATGATTTACTTACGTTTTCAGTACTACTTGGTGATAAATGTCATACTAGAAGTTATGAAAATTCGCTCAGGTCATAATAGATTTGTGACTTAGTGATATCGACATTAGTCTATTACCTATTGAGTCTCTGGTTTCAATCCACGATGTCCAATTCTACCTGGACTGTTTGATTGTATTGTTGGTTATCGTGCGATCGTTCTTACTCACAAATTAGTACACTTAAAATCAACATGGTAATATGACTGACTAAGTGGTTTAGATACCTGATCTTCAAGTATGTTTGTCCACTGTACCAAATACTACTCTCTATTTCTGAAATTTTTGCTAATCCGACCAAGTTACTTTCATTGCTTAGCATTCTTCGGACACTACTCCATCCTAATACTCCCCAGAATCAGCACACTTCTTGGACAAAAACGTACTATGTTCCCAAACAAGGAAGCGAGTTAGCTAAGTCGAAGTTACAGTCAGGAATATCCCAGTATATATATATATATATATATATATATATATATATATATATAATACACCGAAGGGCTCTACTCTTTGCCTATTTATTACCGTTGATCTGCTCATTTTTAAGGCAATAAGCGCAATCCCTGCATAAAACATGTCTTAATCAAATGAGTGACCTACCAACAAAATGTTATATCTTTAGCTCTCATTTGAAAGATATGGCTCATGATTTGATCCATTGATAGACCCTTCCTTGGTTTTTGGTTTGTATTAGTTATATTTTACTATATTGTTACGTAGTTCTGTTATTAGGTAAAAAGTACATTTTCAACTCATCTCTGTATATTGACTATACTATAATTCCGTGTTAGATGTGCGGCAATTAGCAAAATGTTTATGTATGTAATAGAAAATATGCTTTTCGACAGTCTTTAGACGAAGAGCGCACAGAAGTTTTAAAGGAACTTGAATTAAAAAACAAAGAAGCAGAACAACAGTTGGCTACAGTACGTGCAAAAGTAAAGGAACAAGAAGATGCTGGGTATGTTTTCTTTTTTCAATAAATATATTATTTATGGTTTATCTACTGAGTAGAAGTGTTTACATTCAACTTCCAACTTCTGCCCGCTCACAGCCTACAAATTGAAATAAGTAGTACAATATTACAAACTGTCGCCCAGTTATTTTGACGTTAAGTGTTGAAACCACTAAGTTTTTCTAGCACACTACATAATATTTGCGTCTAGAATATTAGACTATTTCTATTCTTTTTTAAACTAAGCACTCGTTAATTTTGTTAAATTTACCAATCATACTTATCTCAATTTTTACAAGTTTTCAAATAATAATCGTTCGACTTAACTTTTTAAAGTGATTATTTTAAACCATATAAGTAGTTAATACCAGTTGAAAGATGTCAAACTGTTATTCACATTGATTTTTCGCATTAGTTATCTTATTAGCGTATTCCTTCAAACCAAGTTTTGATTATGAACGAAGAACGTTCATTGATCTTAAATTGCAGTACTTCTTCATAGGTACCTCTTCATCCTATCGTTTCGAACTATATTTTCAATACTTCTTTCTCATTACTATTTCAAATACATTATTTCGATCATTTTTTTTGTTATTCATTTTCTGCTAATATCTTGTTTAACTGCATCATAGACCTACTGATGGAAATAACTTTCTCGTCGACTGAATTCTCGGGTATTGATCTCCTTCCAGGAGGTCCACTTATCGACTTAGAATACGCGGGTGACATAGTCCTGTTTGGTGAAGACGCTGATACAATGCAGAGTCTTCTGGTAGCACTAAGCAACAATGCCAGAATGTTTGGAATGCTCTTCTCTCCCTCTAAATGCAAGTTGTTTCTTCAGGACTGGTCTGCCTCAACATCTGAACTAAGGATAGGGAGTGAAGTAGTCGAACGCGTTGACAACTTCACTTATCTTGGAAGTCTGATCAGCCCTAATGGGTTGGTGTCTGACGAAATCTCAGCACGGATTCGAAAAGCTCGTTTGGCTTTTGCCAACTTACGTCACCTGTGGTGAAGGCGAGATATCCGTCTATCAATAAAAGGACGAATATACTGTGCAGCCGTTCGTTCTGTTTTACTTTACGGCAGCGAAACATGGCCATTAAGAGTATAAGATACTCGTAAGCTACTAGTATTTGACCACAGGTGCCTTAGAAATATTGCTGGCGTCTGCTGAGATCACCGGGTAAGTAATAGTGAGGTTAGACACAGGGTATTAGGGAATGATGGCAAATCAGTTGATGAGGTTGTGAATCTTCATCGACTGAGATGGTTGGGCCACGTGTTACGTATGCCTGACTACCGATTACCACGACGCGCAATGCTGCTGACTAGTGTTGGTGATGGTTGGAAGAAAGTTAGGGTTGGCCAAACCAAAACGTCACATCAGTCTTTGGAGTCACTAACTTCTAGTCCTAGCAATGTTGATAGATGCAGACTGCTTTGTTGGGGTCAACGCGACTATTGTGACCAATGGTTGGAGACTGTTGGTGACATAGCTGAGAATCGATCACAATGGCGTCGGTGTATACACTCTCTGTCTTCCCTTAAACAAAGAGATTAAAATCGCTTTATATCTTTCTACGAACCAATCTTTCTTTTATATATCACCACCTCTGAATTATCTACCTTTGTGAATCAGGTGTTCATCTTGTTGTGTTAATGAGGTATGGCAACTTGGACCGATGCATATATGTGCCTGGTCGTACGTTGTAGTTGACTGACTGCTAACATCTTATGATAACTTCGTGGGTCGGTACACGTTTTTCTGAGCTCTACGTTGATCATGTTTGACTAGTCGTGGAACGAATAAAATTCAAAAAGCTTTAAACAGGTATTTGATTATCCTTTAAAATTAATCAGCAGTCCATATCCACGAAAGCATAAATGATTGAATTTAAAATATAAAATATCATATTCTATTGAGTCCCATTCCAATCGTTCACAATCCAACCTAGTTAAGAACGACGAAGTGTTTACCACAGACACCAATATTTTTTAGGTATGTTATATTATGAATTAATTGAATTATTAAAATGTTTTATTGCTGTGCTGAAAGCTAACTTCATCAGACTCAGGCAATTAATATGCATAACTCGTAGTTGAAATATGATAGTAAATTTCTTATGAAAAATTATCAGGTTCGTTAAATACATGTATTTAATCACTGTTTACAAATGTCAATATCTCTAAAGAACTTGTTAACCAAGTACAAGTTTATGTACTTGTCTTTGAGTCTCAGTGTTTTTGTGAGGTGGCAGTAATAATAACAGGATACCCGAACTGAAATAATTGATTAGGTTTTGTAGAACTCACCTACTGATTAAAAACTGCGCGTTTTAACTGCTAACAATTTGTATTGAACGAATTTCACCTTTCTTCACTAATTTTCAACACAAAATTTTTAAAATAGTGAAAGAGAAACGACAGAACTTAACCATTAAAATATAAGCGTAAATTTTATTACACAAGTATCCAAAGTAATACGGATGAGAAACCAAGTGTTATTGTATTTCCTATTTGTCCAGTTTTTCTCCTAAAGTAGTATTTCTTTTCTAGTTATGGACGACTAGCTCAAGAATATATTATGCTTCGGGAACGTGTCGATGCTCGATTGCATGCTAAAGATGATTTAATTAAAGAAGTTGAACAAAAAGAATTGGATTATACACGTTCAGAGGGCACCATCGCCCCTACTTTGGACGCTTATAATCGTCTTGTCGGATCACTAAGGGTCTGTACTTATTTATTTATTGTTAAAAAAAGTATGCATATGTTCTAGAAAGACAGTACCTATCACTCCAACTTATTTCATCTGAGAGCGGTGTGTAAAGATTAAATAGTTAGGGCACTTTCATAATGTAGCGAATAGATTGCAGCATAAATCCATTGGACAAATATTCATTCATGTAATTTTTGATATTCAGTTAAGCTATCAGTGTACGTAATCTTTTAGTAGTTTAAATAAATTAACAATGGCATCTCTGACCGTAGAGCTGTGTGATTATTATTATTATTATTATTATTATTATTATTATTATTTATTGTTTCATGACTTACTAGTTTCTGTGATGTCCACCAATTGTATTTTAATTTAATTGTATGATCGTTTTGTATTCGTTCCTGGTACCTATTTTACTGTCAGTTTCTAGATTGATATTTGTATGTGAGGATAAAGATTTTATATTGTATATTTACTCTGGTCTTATATGTTTAGTGATGAATATTTTAGTGCCTAGTAGCCGCTGCTTTTTCAATGGGTTTGTTGTTACTGTATGCCTAAGCGATGATTCCACATCTTATTTCTGTACGCACAATCTAATAATAATCTTCTTAGTATGTTGGCTTGTGAAAATTATTGAATTTCACAGTTCATAACACAGTCTGACCTTAGTTAGATAACTTTCAAAACCAGAAGACACTGAGCAGCCTTTTCGTCCTACTGTGTGTTTAATCACTAGTGGGATCGTAGACCCACATTGCCGAAGAGTCCTTTTTAGTAGGAAGCAGATGTTGTTTTTCTGCATAAATATCCTCGTTTCCCACTAACACTGCTACTATTTATCATAGTAATTTTAACTCGTTCTGAAGTAGTCTGTTAACTTGAACGGATGTACCAGGTTATACTTTACGTATAATTATAACCACAATATCGTTAATTTTTTGCCATTGAACTTTTTCGTTTCCAATGCATCTGTCGTAAATTCTACACACTTATTGATCCTTTACAGAAACCACCGTTTTCACAGATCACCAAAAACTGTAATTTGGAAGTTTGCACATATCGCAAAGGATTTGATATTGCTAAGCAATTACCATTGCTAGTTCAAAATGTGAAGGCTTGTGTTGAACAGTTGACTTTGGCTTTGACTTCTAAAGAACAACGACTAAGTGAATTGGTTGAACGTCTCGAAACTCTTCAATCGTCAATCGATAGTTCAGTAAGTTTTGTAAATTCCCATATATATATATATATATATATATATGCTTGTGTTGCCCTTCATCACTTCTTCAGGTTCGACTTTTCTCGTTTCCATGATGACTACTCTATCCAACAAATGCGCAAACTAAGGTTATAAAAAATATTTTGCGAATTTTAAACTACCTCAATTATATTCGTTTTCGAGTACTCTTTATCTTTGTTTTCATTGTTCGAAATAGTTCTGAAAGTCCCCGGAATCTGGGACCTTCAATAGTCTCGTTTTGTGTACCAGAAAAATCGTATACACCGATTATTTTCCGAAATTTGTTTTATCGACAGTGAGTCAACGAATTTTAGTCATAAAAAACCGAATATGTTCGATATTTTCATCAACGCAAAAGGTCGACGGTCATTTTAACCTTTCCTTCTTCATTGTCCTCACATAATTTTTTGATTCACTTGAGAAGAGGTCTTTCTTCAGCACATTAATAATAATAAACATATGTATTAAAATTTATTTACATTGGCGATTCTTAACAGATTTTTGTCTGAATATTATTTTTCACTTATCAGGAATTGCCAGATGTACAAGCTAAACTGGATGAGGTAAAAATAGATTTGGCTAAACTAGATGAACTTTTGGCGGAAGAATACAGTGCGCATACAAAAGCAGAAGAAGAATATGTTAGTTTATGTTCTCACAGAGCCAAAGAATTAGAACAGTTAAAAAAACAGTTAATTGATGATGAACAACGTCAGACGGAGTTAAGCGTATGTTGTGTACTTGTAACTTTACTTGATGACAACTATGTTAATTTTTATAGCTTGTGTAATAGATTTAACCCTATTTGGATAGCCGCTTAAAACTGGAGATCATTGAACAGCTCTTTCGTCTTAGTAAGGGACCTCTCAACGGTATGCATTCACAATCTCATGATAGTTTAAACTCAAGCTCGAGATCTTGTGACTTGGTCTTGACATCTAGACTACGGAGCCGGTATCCAATAGTTTACTTGTCTAACTCCAGTGAATTCACGATATTGTGCAACTACGTCTAATGCTACTGGTGGGTGACTGTTTCACACTTGACATGGTTAAACTTCACTGGTCATGGCTTTTTACTAGAACTGTCAGTTCATTTTTATTAAATATGAGTTTACTGTATCTATAAAATACGCTGACTGCAGTGTTCTATTTTTTCCTTGTAACCTTAAAATGCTTATATTTGCGTATTTAACTAAAATCCTAAAACACGGTATTAATAACACATAAACCAAACGACAGATGGACACTGTTGGTCAAGATTTTACTTTCTAAAGAAAGAGAGAAGAATTATAACTTTTTAAGGGGAAGTGGTAAGTATTTATGCGTTGCGCATAAATTCTCGATTAGGTTTTGTCAATAAAAGCTTCTTACTCTTGGTTTTCTCGCTCAGTTAGCTGGTTTGGACTCGTATGTAGGAAGCTTGTATATCTATATCAGATTCTAGCGACAACACAGCATAAATTCACTTGTGATACCTCCTAATTTTAATTAACGAATTTTGAATCCTATAGTAGATAAAACATTTTCACTTGTGTTATGTTCCCTGAGGTACCTGAATGATTTAATCGTGTGAAGCTTTCATTGTCTTTCTAAAAGACATCAGTAGCAGCGCATATTTCACAAAAAGTGCCAACTAATTTGGATTTCCTCCCAACTGACTAATAGCTTGTTCTGTTGACCTGGATGGAATTCGATGGGTCGTTGTTATTGTTCGTGATTCTGTGGCTGTTGTTTGTATGTTTGTTTTGATGGTAGGGAACTCTAAAAACATATACTATCCACTTGTCAATTTTTTCTGTTGATTTAATACATGGTGAGACGTTAGATCACCATTCCATGGTGAAATCTTCTGGGTGGCTACTTTCTATAATAAGTCCATTAGATATGTCTTCCCATTTCTCTGTGTAGTATGTGTAATTAAATGGATCTGAATACAGCTTAATATAGTAGTCGATCGGTTGTTGCTGTTTTAATCAAGGATCGAAAAAACATTCACACAATTATGGACAAAAAACCATTTATGATATATTTCAACAGAACTGGTTGTTAGTGAACTATGGTGAGATCCTAGTAACTCTTCTTTCTGAAGTATGTGCTGATAATGATGTTCGCTAGAAAAGCACTGAGAGCTTCACGACCCAACCATCCAGCTCAAAGTTCTGAACATACCGTCAATAACCTCATCCTTAGCTATAGATATTCTCCGTCATTTTAGTGAATAACGGTGGATTTCATAATCTTTTAGTTATCACAACTAGTTACATAATAATAAGGATAGGAACTACAGTTAAATCTGAATACAAATTTTTTGTGTGTTATTAATAATATGTAGTTAATAAAACTGAGGGAATGCAAATTAGATAATCAGATTACTGGAAAAAAGATTAAAGCTAGAAACTGAAGTTAAACAAAATTTCTCAGTAAGTTTAGAAGATGTCCTACTCTACTTGTAATGTAAAAGTGCCTCAAACAGCATCGAAGTTCCAAATCATAACAACTGATTTCAATCTCCAATTAATCCTACAAAATGTACTGAATTCAATGTGTTTTAGATTTGAATGATATTTGGTCTACTCTTTTGATCTATCGACAACAACTGTACCAGCTACGCCTGTTAGTTATATTAGGAATGTTTTGTTTAATCCCTCAATGTAGAATATAGCTAGGAAATATGTCTAATTCAAATATTTTCTTTCTAAATATTGAGCTGATAGGGTTTTGAAAATCAACCCATATGAAATCAGCTTGTAGTTATCTTCATTACAGGTTTTTATAAGATCTACATATATGACGTTGTGAAAGATGGTTTGAATTTTCTTAAGGAGATTCTCATTGAAAGTAAGTATTTTAGTAAACTTCATCTCGAAACTATTAGCTTGAAACCTGGCGAATTTCTTTCACTGTTGACACTTCATGTACTTTGCAGTTCTGTACATATTTATTTACAAAAGTCGACTGTCCTATTTCCGTAGATGGAGTTTTTGCCCAGCTAAGCTCTGAATAATTTATTCACTTTAAGCGTGTAATATGCTGTCCTTTTTTATTCATCTACCAGTTCACTTACTGTTTTAGGTTATTTACATTTATTTACTTTGCTTAATGTTGACCTATTTTGGTTATTAAAAGGATAGGATAGTTCCGTTGATTAACTTTTACGTGCATTATCGATATTATTACTGATGATCATTTTGTAAAATGAAGTATTATTTGTTTTTGTAGGGTAAACTTGAAGAAATAATTCAAGAAAGAGTTAAAATCACCTCTTATATTGAAAATATTAGTCAACAATTATCAGTGTTTGTTCCTTACATTGAGGTAATTTTAAAGTATTAACCGTAGAAATCTTTTTATGTGCAATGCAAATTTGCAGTTATGGTTCAGATGCCGATGTATCTACTTCGGTTTTACCATCCAAATGATATCTTCAATGTTCTCATACAAAAATGCCGTTTGATACTCAGTACATTTGATTATTAAGTTATGTTTATCAACATTTTAGTCTCATTTCGTGTGTAAACGTTTCTGTCGATATAAATATTATATCCACTTTTTCTAAACCGAAATAAATCGTGACATTGCACCCCTTAAACTTGTATTACATTGATTTTGAAATTTAGAACGGTGGTTTTTAAGATGTGGTACATTTCTGAGGTCTTCTTTATTAAGCACTTAGTACACTCAGTCGTAAGCACTATTTCTTATCCTATGACGCGAACCGTAGTATAGTATAAATGTATATGGGGATGTACCACTATTTCGCGTAACACTTTTTTCAATTTAGATATAACTTCAAGGGAATTAAGATGGTATTTTATTTGGTTAGGCAAAGTGATCGGTCGGCTAGCGTATATAGTCAGTGTTTACTTGGTTCTTAATTGAGTTATTATATTTGAACAATATGAAACTCAGGGTGTATAATATGATAGTGTACAGAAGTAATGTTGACATCTCTTTATTGTTAAGAATTTTAATCATAAAATCTAAGTTCCAATAAAAAATGTAGACTCAAATCTTGCCAATATCTGAAAATTCAAGTGCTTTTCATTACTAAACTGTTGTTCAATGTGATAGTTCCGAGCATTAGCGCTATAACATTCGAGTAACAGCTGGTGATCGCTTGGATTATTGAGTTCATTTTAGAAGGCATTCACTGACAATTTTCCAATTATATGTTGGTTTTTCTATCTTATCACTTGCAAGTTTTATGTGTTATACTCTTTCTCACAAAGAGAAACGTTTTAAAAATATTTTAGGACAATTTTCTGCTTTGTTTTTTTTTTTAAAATTTTATTCATCAGCTACTATGCGCATTTCGTTTACTGTATTCTATTGAACTCGGTCAGTATAATCAATACAAGACTTGAAATCATAAAGCTTTTGTTTTGCAACAACTATGGTTGATCTCTGTTTTGACTACTGAAAACATCCCTAAAGTCAGGCCCTTCTGCTTGCTTACTTACGCCTGTTACCTCCAATGGAGTATAGACTGACGACTAGCGTTCTTCAACCCAATCTGTCCTGGGCCTTCCTTTCTAGTTCTATCCAGTTGTTCATTCTTCTCATGTTTGTCTCCATTGCTCGACCCTTCTGCGGCCTTATCGGTTTCTCATTTTGTCATCGTATAATTTTCTTCATACCCTCTTGCATTTTCGGAACTACATCTAGTATATATAAAAAGAATGGTTTAATGTGATAACTGAATTACAAACCAAGGACTTTCGAACATTCACTAGTCAACATTTATTGTCTGCCTCTGGAAAGTATTTATGGCAGATAACACCTTTGACGTCGAAAGATGTAGTAGCTCAATCCTTTGGTGTATTGAATATACTGTAAATAAAATACCTATTTATTGATGTACTTAACTTCTATGCGCTCTTAATCTACTTACTATTTTTAAGTTTTAATAATACTTTATTTTTGAATATACTGGGGAATTGGTCATATATCTTTTTTCTCTTTTAGTCATATTTCAAAACTAAGGAGTCTGCTAATCGTACCTGGCAGATGCATATAAACATACTGCGCGAAGAAGTTCAAAGTGCAGCTCGTCGTATTGAAAACAAAGTTAGAAAAGCACTTGAAGAGAATTCTTTATCTGAATAGCATTTCTCCAAGAGATTAACTTTTTCTTGCAACTAACTTCAATTGATTTTTGTTAATATTGCATTTTATTAAAATGTTATTGTCGTGAGAGTTTTCCAATAAACCGTTCACAATAATGTCTTGTAGCTTATTACAGACAAATCTAAACATATTAGACACTAGAGCTGAACAGTTTTCGGTCCTCTTTTGTAAGTCTGGTCACTTCTCACAAAGTAGTACTTATGAAACTGTACTTTCTCTTTTTGAGATTTAACTGGTTTTTGCAATGTAACCTTCACTACTACGAAACTAGTAAATTTGTCACCATAATTAAACCACCGAAGCAACTCCAGCTTGCGAAATGTTTTTTTCGTCATACTTCTTCCCCGTAATCGGCTACGTGACTACAGCTGATTCATACGTATATCCCATAGTAGGATATTTATTTTGAAGGACCCTATGAGATATGCTACACGCATAGTACGGCACGAAGGGACAGACGATGATCAGTAGTGTCTCGATTTCGTCTGTACACGACGTGTCCTTATAGGATCCAACCTGTTTATCTTGAAGCTGGACGTCTACTGAATCTTTCGTCCAGTTCGGTAACACTCAGTTGAAAACGTTTCTTGGTACCGATAGTACTGGGATGCCTCTGTAGTTCTAATATCTGCTTAGATCTCCTTTCTTTGGTGTCTTGATGAAGTATCCTTCTTTCCAGTCTGTCGGCACTTGTTCTTTTTTCCAAATATTCCTGAGCAGAACATGGAACACCTTTACAATTACCTCTATGTCTGACTCCAGTTGGTATATTGTCTGGTCCTTCTGCTTTCCCGCTCTTGATTTGTCTGATAGCCATCCTGATTTATTCCATCGTTGGTGGAGTGACATCTATACGAAGGTCTGTGTGTTGCTTCGATGTTCGGTGGATTGATGGAGCTGGTCTATTCTAGAGTTCCTCGACGTGTTCTGACCATCTGTCTCTGTCCATGAATTTCAGTAATTGGCTTGCCTTCTTTTCCTTGACTGGTCTCTCTGGCTTACTATATTTCCCTGCCATCTTCCTTGTGTCATGCAGCTGTCTCATATTTCCTTTTCTTGCAGCTTTTCCCGCTGTTGTTCTAGCCCTTCCATGTCTTTATGCCTGTCGACTCTAACACTTCTCTTTACTTGCCTGTTGCTTCTGCGTATTCAGCTTGTGCCTTGACTTTCTCTGTTCTTGTTCGGCTGTTGTAAATCGCCGTTCTTTTGTTCTTTATTTCTTGAGTCTTGTACAGGGTTTCGATGGAGATCCATTTCTTATGACGATGCTCGTTGCGACCCAGAACCTGACACGAAGTTAGAGCTCCTTTGATCCCTTTCCAGTTGTCCTTCATGGTGATTTATTCTTCTCCCCGTATACCATGTAAGGATTGGAAGCTGTTGTTGATAGTTATAATGAATTGTTTGAGTTTGTCAGGTTGTCGATGGAAGCCTGTATTGAACCTTTGAAATGCTGTTTGTCCAGTTTTCAAATGCTTCTTTATTTTCAATTTCAACTTGGCAACCACCAGGTTGTGATCAGGAAGTTGTAGTTGCGTTTGTGAATAACCTTGTTCGGCAACAGTAAATTTGCGTGGAACAGAATACTGGTCTACTTACCTGTTCCAAAACTGCACCAATACTCACTAGATGTATCTGTGATTTGCAAACTGTAAAGTAGGAGAGTAAGTTCGAATAACAGCATCACTTGGAAGAACCCTTTGTACACATCGAAATCATGACTCTTCTCCACTCCATATAAATGTCTTATGTATTGCTCTTCTGGAAGACCATAGGGATCTATTCGCCACTTGAGGATGACTGGATCACTTTGTACTTGGAGTTTTATAGACGGAATTCTCATCCCTCCACTGCACTTAGGACAAGTAACAATGTGTGGAACTAATGTACACAGACTTTCCGAAGAAGTCATATTTAAGGCAGTCAAATGGACGTATTGTATTTGCGATTCGTAATCAGCGCACAATCAGGTACGAAGAAATCATGTTAGTGCAATTACCACAGCTACACAACCGAGCAACTCCTACACTTCGCCGACCCTACCTATTGGTGAAAACTTTACAAGCAAGCTTTATGCTGCCGCATTCACCATTTACCAGTAAACACATTGTAAACAAATGTGGATTGTTTTAAAATTATATTATAAGACGTTAATTGACATTTGGACAACATTAGAATCACGTTGTTCAATGTTCTTTTCTCATATTTTACTTCGTTACCTGCCATCCTAACCCTATCAAACGAGAATAAATAGAAAATACGAATAAGCATCATACTTAAATTGCATCACTACGTCCATTTACATCATACTAATCAGTATCATAAATGTAGTGGACGAGAACACAAGTGAGGACAATCGAATGTATTTAAACACGAAATTACAGAACATTTCACTAAAGTATGAGAACCATAGAGTAAAGTTAATTTGGAAAAATATCAATCAATTGTCTCAAACTTGACTGCTACGTTTGCAAATATCAATCCGTCGTCTCAGATTTCATTGTTCGTGCATTTTCATACCAGTTACTTTCTGTTTCCGTTCTTTCCTCGTTTTTCTACTGAAATACATTCCACTTTTTGACCATCGTTATATACTACTTGTGTGGATATAAGTAGCTCACACCACATTAACCGACAAAACAGATAACATGGATCAGATATTATTGTGGTAACTATAATCCTAATTATTATAACCACAATCGTGATAGTTAAAATACTAGGCAGCTAATCGTAGACATGATGATCGTAACAATATATAGTGAAATAGTTATCAGGAAATTTAACAATATATGACGATTTCACGATGACAGTAGTCATCAAAATACTTAGGGAAATAGGCAACATGATATTCCTCACAATAATCGGAATACTTGTTCGCATTACCGAAAGTAGAATGAAAACAATAGTGGTGAGTAAGATCGGGGCCATAATTGTAATATTTGTACTGATGATAAGGACAGAAAATCGCAGCGGTAAAATATACAACCGTTCACTGAGTGACTGACTTTCAACTGATTTTTCTAACCGTCGTATGCTAATCAGTACATGAAACTTACATTTGAATTAACACCATCGATACCAATCAGGTGACTGCCAATCAGTTAACTGTATATTCAAATTTGTTTGAGTCTGTAAATATGATAAAAATAATGCGACGAACCTTTGTCAGACGTGTAATTAAAGTTAATTTCTATGAGACTCTTGGTTTCTGTTGTTCATCAGAAATCTCTACTGTTCATATTGGTAAACAATCTGACTCGTAGCTTGTCTATCTGTGGATGTGTAGGGTATTCAGAACTTTATGTTGTTTCCCCAGCTGTTCAGTATTTTTTTCAGCTTCCGTATCATCTTGGCAACCACCAGGTGGTGGTCTCAAGCTGTGTTAGTTCTTCTCCTTGTCCTCCATCTATCTGGTTCTCTGTGTTGTGGTCCGGTTAGGCCCATGTAACTTTGTGTATGCGTTTATGTGGGAATATTGTGCGGCCTATAACCATTTTGTTGAATGCACATAGATTTACAAATCTCTCTCGATTTTCGTTCTTTTCTCCAAGTTCATGTTTTCACACGATGTTTTCATAACGGTTGTCGTCCATTCCGACTTGGGCGTTTAGGTCTGCCATTAGGATGGTCAGGTCCTTTCCTGAACACTTCGCTATGATCGATTGCAGCTTCCCATAGAACTGATCTTTATCATCATCCTTGCTATCATTGGTTGGTGCATAACATTCATTGTGTATTCCCTCCTTCGTTGTTTTGAAGGATGCTTTGATGATCCTGGGCCCATGAGATCCCCATCCGATAATGGTATTTCATGCTTCTTTGGACAGTTTCAGAACAACTCCCCTCAGTGTGTGGAGCATTTTCCTCTTAGTGGCCGGAGTACAGCGGCATCTCCCCCGTACCTATCTTTTATTTTCCATCTTGTATCCAATCGGTTTCGCTGATTCCAAATAGTGCCAAGTTGTATCTTTTCATTTCCGTTGCTAATTGACCAGTCTTCCCGGTCTCCCACATTGCTTGGACATTCTACGTATTTATGTTAATTGTTGCTCTGGTTGTTAGAAGGGTCAACGGCCTCGTGACTTCTGAAGACCCTCGGGTTTCATCATGAGGCTTCATAATTCTCCCTTCCCAGGACAGAGTTTAAGTAGTTTAAATTGTTTAATCTGGTTGGCGTTGTTTATCAAGGTTGTTTTCTGCTGGATGTGGTTGCCGACCTCATGCCTAACCCTTCTCCTTTTTTCGTAATTGGAGCATGCAGTGGTACTAGAAAATCTATAATCTTGCTTATGATATCTTTGCACGAACCTTGAATTTTAACAGGTTGATATCGGATAATTATGGACAAACAATGTATCACAATTGTGTAAACCTTATCCTGGAAGAATCTTTCAATGGCACGATCCTGGAACATGTGGAATTATGGTCACACTCCTCGTACAATTATTCCATTTAGCTAGTTTTATTTAGCAAACCACTTAACTGTTTAGATTCTGCTTGTTTTTTGAACGGATAAGAAGAAAAGGTTTTGCTGAATATTTTCGTATGTTATGCCATGGCTGATTTGAATTTCAAATAAAATACTCTTTTTTGTATTCACAATAATCTCTTTGACTCTGATATTGGCGTAGACAGGACTCATAGAGTATTTATTAGGTATTTCTTGTTGTTACCGGACAGCATACCGAATTTCATTTTATCCACTTATCACAGACAGGACGACCACCAATACGCCAGTCCAGTAAAACCTTCAATATTGTTCTCAACTTAAGATCATCCTGGGGGTATGGGGAAATTGATAATAATACTGAGAGAACTTTTTATTTCTTCTCTCAAAACAGTTACTTATATGGTGAACGAGAGCAGGAGTGGGGACGATAGAATGTATTTGAACACAAAGTTACAAAACATCTTAGTATAATCTGAGAACCATACATTAAATACCTAACCTGCAAAATATCAATCAATTGTCTCAAACATTACTGATCATTTCGCAGATTTCACTCAATCGTCTCAGACTTCATTGTTCTTTCGTTTCCATTACAATCATTCTGTTTTCTCGTTCTATTCTATTCGATCTTCTTAACCTT